ACTTCCCTCCTACTGGAGAAGGCCGAGGCACATCCCCCTAGTGGGGAAAGCCCTGTCGCCCTTTGTTCCAAGGCCTTTATTGAAAAACCTATCAGTGGGCTAGGTAACAGGAATGCATACATTATCTCATTACATCAGTATGGTAAGTTTCACAGTGAATATATGATGCTTTTAACAAGACAAGTGACAGGAGTACACTGATTTACACGGGTCCGACAGGAGACTAGAATCAACAATAGAGACTATAGATAAGGTGAAAGTAGACTTAGAGGCGCCTTAAAGATATAGGATAAAAGGTGTAAATAAAGGAAATGTCTTAACAAGGTAAGGGGTGTAAATAAAGGTCCTTCGCAGCATGAGCTGACCAGAGATCTGAGGGAGGAACAGAGTACACTCTAAAGAATTTACTTTTAGGCCTGATTACCCCAGAACCTACCAGATCTGATTTAGGATTGTTTTTCCTGCACTGCTTCAAGCCTGAGCCCGGCAGGGGGAGGGAGCCACCAAGGGTTAAGGAGACTGCTTCTCGGCTGCAATGAGGACTATGGCCATGTCCAAGCTAAGCTGAGAGTTGTGGGGGCCTTTTTGCCCCTTCTCTGTGTCCCCCAATTTCTGGTCTGCTGCCAATATCGGCCAATACCTGTCTTAGGTCGTATACCTCAGCGCGAGATAACTTACTTGTTGTTGGCCATTGACCATCCGTGGCAAAGCAGAGAGGCAGGGGCAGAGCCCAAAGCAGAGGAGCACAGGCCAAGTCTCCTCAGGAGCCTGCTTTTCCACGGCCTCCTGAGTATTTCCAGCCTTGGGGCCCTCCAGCCTGTCGGCGGGGTTACAGCTCCTGAAACCAGGCCGGGCATTTCCCAACACACAGCTAGAAAGCAATCACCTACAAGGCAGAAAGAGAGCTCTCACCAGAAACTAAATTGGACCGCACCTTGTTTGGACTTCCAGCCTCCAAACTATGAGAAGTAAATTTCTGTTGTTAAAGCCACCCAGTCTATAGTATTTTGTTCTGGCAGCTGGAGCAAGCTAGGACAGCAGGCATTCTCCAGGAGAGCCATGGTGCCTGAGCCTTGGGTATTTTCATGCTGAAAGAAGACCACACTCATGCAGTCAGAGCAATATGCATATGCTATCAAATAAGGGAAACTAGAGGTTTTCATGGTTTTAATGGTTAATTAAATATTAAGGTTTGATGTTAATTGTTCAAGTGAAGATAATCAGTACTGTTACATGATTTCAACATGGTTGTTTTGGTTAGGAGTAGGAATTGTCTAAACGAGACTGTAAAATACTTTAAATAAGTACTCAGAAGGCAGCCATGGGAAATGAATGACCACCTTCAGTTGTCTTTGGAGTAGGAAGGGTAGGAGTTATAAAAAGTACATTAGTCAGAATTAAACAAGAAAATGAGTATTCTCTGCAGCAAAATCAATTCCTGAAGCATGTCATTTTAGCACTATAATACTCTCCATGATACAACTTTTAGCTCCGCTGGAAATAAGAATGCAAGTGTCACTCTGAACATCATATACATTAAGTGGCATATTGTGTGTCCTCGTCCTTTCAGAACCAACTTAAATATCTTCTCTTCTGTGATTTTTCTAAATGGCATTTGAAAATGACACTTGTATGTGTTTACATTCCATGGTGCCCATACTGAATGTATTCCTCTCGCTTCGGGTCTTTCACTGCAACTTGCTTTGACTTCCATAAGGTATTTATCAAGCCATGTAACAAAAATATGGTGTCCTTTCTGTCCTGCTAGATAGTGAACTTTCTGTGGGGAAGGCCATGGACATTCAATAGAAGCTTGAATGAATGAATGAATGAATGAATATGAACCAGTGAATACTCCTTTGATTATGACTCATTCCTCATTTACCCTAGGCTTCCAAAGACTCTGACTCAGATCTTAAACTGAGGCCCTCTCCCTCCATCTGCGCATCTAATATATATACTATGAACAATGGTAAACATTGTCATTTTTGTTTTTCTGGCCTCAGAATTTTTAATGACCCATGGGAGCTCCTGGGATGCAGAGTCAGTAAGCTCTAAAGGTCACAAATAAAGATATATGTGACCTTATTATTTTAATAACATTTGTTCCATTGCTGTTTTGCCCATATTTCAAAAATCTCTTGCTGTATATTCATCCTGAGATTGTTGACACTGCACAGCTGCCAAAGTCCACCATAGCAAAGTGGACTATTATGTGGTCAAATTTGAAAGGACCACCCTTAAGTTTACTGGGGAATGACCCCCTTGTAGTTTATGGTCTTGACCAACTTCTTTTAAATAAAAGAAAACCAATTATTTTGATAATAATCCAAATGTTAAATTTAGTTAAATAATGAGCAAGCTATGTTTTCAGGATAGATTCTGGGCAGAACTTTCCATCAGCTACTGAATCTATTGTGTGGCAGAATGAAGAAGGAAGCAGTTTTATCCCAAGTGCCTGAATGTCCCTTACACATCTTTTCTCCCTTCCTCTGTGCTGGAATCTAGCCCATGTTTTATTCCTTATGAATATTGATCATGATTGGCTATGTCCTATATTCTATCCCCAAGGAAATCTCCTCAGGGTATGGAGGGTTAAATAGTTGAAGACCTAATAAGACAGCAGACTTAGGAATATGTCATGGTAGAACAACACAGAGTGAGGTTGACTTTTTGAGCAAGGTTCCTGACCTCCTATAATACCAGGTAGGCAGTCATCCCTGAGGCAACTCTGATGGATGTGACCATATTGAGGAGTATGCAGAAGAGACTAGAGAGACTCTGGAGTGTTTTTTTAATGAAGTTCTTAATTAATTTTTCCTACCTCTCTTCTCCTTCCTTCCTTCATTTCTTCATTCTTTCCTTCCTTCCTTCCTTCCTTTTTTCCTTCCACAAGTACTTATTGAGTACTTCCTATGGTCTAGGTACTTCCCTAGGCTTGGGGAAAACAGTAGTGAATAAGACCAGGTCCCTGCACCCTATGGAGCTTACACTCTGGTAGAAGAAAGGGATAATAAATAAGTAAATAAATACTTTTTAATTTCAGGAACAAACTGTCTTATGAAAAATAAAAGGGAGCAAAGAATATGGCAGTTCCTAAAAAAAACCACACACAAAAGAACTAAACATAGAATTACTATACAATCCACCACTTATACTTCTGTGTGTATGTCTACCCAAAACAATTGATAGCAGGGCCTCAAACAGGTATTTGTACACTCATGTCCGTAACAGCATTATTCATAATAGCCCAAAGGTGAAACAAACCCTCTAAGTCTATCAGTGAATGAATGGATAAACAAAATGTCGTCTATACAAGCAATGGAATATTATTTAACTTTAAAAAGGAAGGAAATTCTGACACATGCCATAATATGGATGAACCTTGAAGACATTACCCTAAGTGAAGTTAGTCACTAAGGATAAATACTGTATGATTTCTACTCACATGGGGTACTTAGAGCAGTCGAAGTCATAGAAAGTAGAAAAGTGGTTTTTAGGGACTGTGGAGAAGAAAGAACGGAGAGTTTTTATTTAATGGGTACAGAGTTTGTTTGGGAATGTGAAGAGGTTCTGGAGATGGATGAGTGATGGCTGAACAGTAACGTGAATATACTTATGCTACTGAACTGAGAACACTTAAAAATCATTAAAATGATAAATGTCATGTTAAGTATATTTTAACATGGGACAACATAGAGGATTACTTTGGGATTTTGTTCAAACTGCAACAAAGTGTGTTTGAAAGATTTTGATCCGTTAAAGAACATGATCTTATTTACCAATTTGAAAGATCATACTGGCTGCTAGGTGAAAAGTAGACTGAAAGGGAGGAAACCTGGAAACCAGAAGACCAATTAAGAGACTATGGCAATTGTCAAGGCGAGTGGCTGGTGGCTCAGGTGATGTTGATAATGGGGCAGGTGATGGAAAGTGGTTGGATTGTGATATATTTCAAAGTAGAGTCATCATGACTTGCCAATGGACTTGACGTGGAATGTGAAGGGTGATGCATCAGTTTTTAACTGAGCAACGCATGAGAGGGGTGCCATCAACTGCCATGGAAATGACCAGGAGAAAATCTTATTGGGGGATGGATGGTAAGGGACATGGGGAGGCGATTCAACGATGTTCTACATAAAAAAGTGAAACCATACACCCAGTATCTAGCAGAGTGCTAGCACATACAAGCCATTTATTAAATACTTGAATGAATGAATGAATGAATTAAACTGCATGGGTAAATAGAGAGAAGGAAGAAAAAATTAATTTTAAATTTTACAAAATATGAAGGACATTTTGCAAAATGATATGATCCTAAAGACCCCAGGCTAAAATTTGGAAGAACTGGGTTCCAGTTTCAGAAAATATATCCAAATCTCAGCTCCTCCTCTCAGCTTTTATTCTGGAACCTCCTACCTTTCCTTCTCTGTAGGGAAAATGTGCTCACACCTTTATTCACCCCAACCAGCAACTCCATAGCCCTTGCATCCCTGTGTGTAAACATATGTTTCACAAGCCTGGGGCAGGAAACAGCCCATCATGCAGCTCCTTGGACAGGAAACAGCTGGCCAGTAAGCTCCTCCAGCTTTCCACTCACCAACCATGCCTTCTCCAACCAGCACACTCGCCAGGTATCCCTGCAGGTGTGTGGAACAGAGCCCTCAGCAGTCCAGACAAACTCCCACAGAGTCAGACCCCCAGAGAGTCTCATTTTTTAAGGGCATGATTTTAAGCAAGCAGGAGACAAGATCAGCTCCTTCCATGGGTTGGCTGGACTTGCTTTGACTGATCCACTAATTGCTCTTACTGAGCCTCCAGGCTGGTTTCTACAGATAGCCACAAAGGAAGGGGAGAGCAATTAGTGGGAAGAAACCTATTCAAGAGTCACCTTCACAATTGAGGAGGCACCAGGCAAAATGAGTAAGACCTGTGGAAATAAATAGCCTTTCCTCTCTGATTTTCACACATTAACCACTTTTGTACTGGCTCTTCCACAGGACTGAGGGTACAGAGCCTGCCTACATCAGCCCCCTTGCCTGTTTCTTTGCCTGAAAATATCGTCTCATCAACGGCCTTCTGGACGAGCTCTCCACAAAGCCCTTCTGCCTCTCCTACCAGTGGAACGCCCAGCCACTCGTCACTCCCTGTTACAGTGCCACCAGTGCAGACATCTCTACCCCCCAAGAATGTTTCCGAAGAGCCCAGAGAACGGGAGACCACCTTGACTTGGAACGGCACCAACACAGATCCCTTATCAACAAGCGGTGGTGCCCACTTAACACCCACACCCACGGAACACAGCTCGAGCACTCCAGAGGCAAGTGCGCCAGCTACAGGGGCTCAGTCCCCTGCTGAGTCTCCTGCACTCACCTCCCCTCAGGCTCCAGCCTCATCACCTCCAACCCTCTCAACCTCTCCACCAGAGGCTTCCTCCCTCTCTGACAGCACCAGCCAGAGCCCCACTGAGCCTAGCACCACGCCCACGGGAGCCTCAACTGGCCCAGAGTTCCCAACACAGGAGCACAGCTCTAGCCACACCCCTGCTTCACATGCCACCTCGGAGCTGGTGCCCATGGAGACAACGCCCCAGACAACCGTGCCAGCCAAAGTGACCTGCATTCTGGTAGATATGGAGACCACCACCGCCTCCCCCAGGGTGATCATGCGGGAAGTGGAGCATGCACTAAGTTCAGGTGAGTCCCCGCCTAGAACACCACTAGCATTCTTGACTACATGGGGATATTAAGAAAGCGGTCCCGTTAACCAAACACAGTCGATCTACTTTGGATTTTTGAGTGTAGCATCTGAGCTGATGTATAATTCACAAGAATTTTCACAAGAGTGCAAACTTTATTTGTGGCCACATAGTAATTTCCACATGATATCTCATTAATTGTGGCCAATTGCCAACTTTTGATTTGTCTTTACATATGTCACGGGGAATGATTTGTCTCTACATATGTAAGTGAAAGGATTAATAGCATGGCTTTTGGTTAGGCTTCCTAGTTTCAGTTCTGGATCCTGACCTTGGGCAAGTTACTTCATGTCTATGTGCCCTTATTTGTCCTCACCTATAAAAGGGGAGTAAGATAGGCTCTGTGGCATATGGTTCTTGTGGAGGTTAAATGAAATGATATATAAAGTGCTTAGAACAGTTCCTGACAGGGTGTAAGTGCTCAGGAGATGTCAGTTGTTATTATAATTTTGCTCAGTGTACTATCAAAGTGTTTATGGGAACCAGCCAAAAAAGAAGGATGGAGGTATAGAGAACTTGTTTATTACTGTAGTCATTGATATAGTTCATGGGAAAGACAATAAATCGTACGGGACGTCACATTTGTTTTTATTTTCCCAGCAAACCCTAGTTGCTGAAGTAGTATTATTTTTATCTTGATTTTACAATCTTGGAAATTTTGGCAGAGAGTTAGGGTCTTTTCTGAGGTCACATGAGTCTAGTATTGGCGTGGAGACTGTAACCATTAGGGCACTGAGCAGGACAAGGATTTAGTGGGAACGTTTGGAATCTTGATCAAGAAACAGGGAGGTGGGAACAGCCAGAAGGTGAAGGGGAACATGGAGCTGCAGCCCCTTCCCTGAGTAGCCCTGTCTGGGGGTCAGAGAGGGGACGTCGGGGGAACAGAGCCACAGCATGTCTGCCTGGGGTCAAGGGAATGGCTGTGAGGAGAAATTAAATATCTTTTAACAAACACTAAACAATCACTCTGGATAGAAATTCAGTTAGACCATGGAGGGGAGAGAGATGAAACTAAGATTAACAAGACCTGATTCCTCATGGAAGAGCTCACAGTTTACTAGGGATAAAGCCCCAAAGCATTGCAAATTCTTACTTCAAAGATCCAGTTTATGAATGAAAGTTCCAAGAAAGGAAGGTGAACTCAAACAGGATAAAGGAATATATTACAAAGGTTTGACTGGGGTACAGCAGATCATAATGGCAGAGCTGTTATGAGTCAGGCCTGGGAGGAGAGGGGAGTGGCCAGAACCCAGAGCAGAGGGTCCTGTAGAATGGACCACCCTGAGAGGGGCAGTGCCTCTTGGTTGGAAGACACAACACATGCAAGGTTAACCTCCTGAGAGTGAAGGGAACCAGCACTCTGCCCGCACTCTACCCCTTCCCAGTGATATGCAGCCAGAAGGTGATGCAGTCACATTATTGTGGTCCATACAGGTCAGACTCCTAGAAGCCTGGTCAGAGAACATCATGGAAAAGAGCAGGGAATGGGTCTGGAGAGGCAAAGGGAAGAAATGTGGCACACCAGATTCACACGTGGACTCCTCTGTGCAGCTCCCACCGTGTCCCACCCTGTTTATTCCTCTATCCAGCACTTACCGCACGGCACTTCGATGTGTACCCTCTGCCTCTGCCTCTGTCCCTGCCCCAACCCCCACACCCCCACCTCTGCCTGATACTTTCCATGCTCCCAGCAGGCAGGTAACATTTCTAGCCTAGTCTAGGGACCTGCAGCAGAGTGCCTGTTCACTTGGCTCAGTGTCCAAAGGACTGTCCCTAACAAAGGCACTATCAAATTTCAAGCTTGTACACAGTGGCCCATCTCTTCTCTTTCCTGGTTCAGGCCCTCACCACCACCTGCACACACTGTAGCTTCCATTTTCTAACTGATCTCCCTTTTGCCGCTCTCTGCCCACTCCACAATGCTTCAGACAGGGTAGACCCACAAATTCTGAGCTTGGCGTACAAGAACCTCCATAATCTAATTGGTTTTAGTACTTTTCACAAGTGCTGTAGTTTCGTGGTCTAAAGTATCCAAAACATTTCTGTTCCACTATTCTGGCTTGTGTTTTAGACCACGTGTCTTGATTTCCTCAACTCTAAGCCAACAGGGTCAAGGGGCACAAAATTAGCATCAGAGATGCATCATGACCTGCATCATGACCCTTTATAGTTCTAAGGGATAGTGTAGCCAGCAGGAACTCCAGAGTAAATGAACGAAAGAATGATCAAGTGACTGGAGAAAAGATAAGCGTGGCAGGTTAGAGGGAGATTGCTGAGCACGGGCCAGACTCCATTTCATAGGACAAACAGGATTTATCCCTTATGATCTATTAAATCAAAAAATATTTACTATAAAGATGACTGTGCAAATTCCCAAGAAGAGGAAGTTTGTTGCTGATGGCATCTTTAAAGCTGAATTGAACACATTTCTCACTCAAGAACTGGCTGAGGATGGCTACTCTAGAGCTGAGGTCCGAGATCTACCAACCAGGACAGAAATTATTATTTTGGCCACCAGGACACAGAATGGTCTTGCTGAGAAGGGCTGATGGATACAGGAATTGACTGCTGTGGTTCAGAAGGGGTTTGGCTCCCCTGCAGGCATTGTAGAGCTTTGTGCTGAACGGTGGCCGCAAGAGTTCTGTGTGCCATTGCCCCGGCACAGCCTCTGCGCTACAAACTCCTAGGAGGGCTTGCTGTGCGGAGGGCCTGCTATGGCGTGCTGCGGGGCACCATGGGGAGCGGGGCCAAAGGCTGTGAGGTCATGGTGTCTGGGAAACTTCAAGGACAGAGGGCTCAACCCTTGAAGTTTGTTGACGGTCTGATGATCCACAGTGAGGACCCTGTGAACTACCATGTTGACACTGCCATGCACCGTGTGCTGCTCAGGCAGGGGGTGCTGGGCATCAGAGTGAATATCATGCTTCCTGGGGACTCAAGAAGCCCCTGCCTGACCCCGTGAACATTGTGGAACCCAAAGATGGGACACCGCCCACCGCCCCCGTCTTGGAACACAAGGGTGGGAAGCCAGAGCCGCCTGCCATGCCCCAGCCAGTACCCACAGCAGAACAGGGTCTCGTTGGCAGCTGGATCTGGAATCTGAATGTTGCTCTATGAAGACCTTTACTAAAACTTTTTAAAAGAAAAAAATATTTAGTATGCATCTTCCAGGCTTCTGTGCTTGACGCAAAGAAGTAGAAGAAGTGTAAGACCTGTCTTATGAGATTTCATAGTTTAAGTAGGAAAAAAGGGCCTGAGTCACTTAATATGAATGAAATGAGCTGAGGTGGATGGACAGATCTTTGCACAGATGTGATACAGTCTGTTCATTTCGAAGGTGAAGAAATTATGTCCCAGAAGTTTGGAGTGCCTCACCCAAGGTCACGTCGCTCAGTGGCAGAGCTAGGCCCAGAGCCCAGACCCTTAAAACCACAATCAAGTCTTCTTTCAGCACCCAGCACTGCCGCTCTGCTTCTCGCTCAGCCCTGCACACCATGCAGCACCCTTGACTGTGCTCACAGGTTACTTTTTGGGGATGTTTTTGTTTAGAGATTTTGTGCAGCCTTAACAGTGACAGTAATAATATCACACGGTGGTTTAACATCTCGTCTTACTCTGTGTGGGTTCACATAGCCTGTTTCTATTAATCCAAGAACTCATCAATTCAGTCACCAAATGAGTAATTCTAAAACAAGGTTAATGGAGTTAAATTTGACTAGAGGAAATAGGGAAGACTCCATGACGGTGCTGAGGTGTAAGAGATTAAGGAAATGTGGGCTTAAGGAGGCAGTTGGGACCCCTGTGTGCAAAGGTGGGGAACCAGTGGCATGGTAGTTAGTGCTGCACTCGCCTGGCTTCAGAATGCGCTCAGCAGTTGTAAGCACCAAAACTACTCTTGTCAAGGTATCCAATGCCCTTCACTTTGCCAAGTCTGAGGTTAATTCTTAAGCCTGACTTGACCTGACCTATCAGCAGCATTTGACACATCTGGTCCCTGCCCTTATCTTTAAAACACTGTCTCCGCCTGACCTCCAGGACACATTGTCTCTCGGTTCCTCACCCACCTGGCTGACCGCTCCTCGTTAGCCTCTGTCGCCGTGTTTCGCCCCTCGCCTTAATGCGCTGGAGCACCCCAGGGCCAGTGCTGCTCTCCTCTCTCCCTGACCTCTTGCGCTCTCTCTCCTCTCCACACTCATTCCTGAGATGATCTCATCTTGTCTCATGACTTAAAATGCCATGCATATGCTGATAACCCTGACATGTAAAAATTCTATCCCTGTTTTGTTTCACTGAACTAAGACATGTATACCCCTCTGACAACTAAGTTATATTCCCCACGTGGGTGGCTCCTGGGTAGCGCACACTCAGTGCGTCTAAGATGAATTACTGGCTTCCTCAACCCTCAGCCGGCTCCTCCCTCAGCCCTTCCTCGTCTTGAGTCCTCTGGCCAAAAACCTTGGGCTAATCCTAGATTCCCTTTTCACATATTCCACATCCAGTCCACCAGAACCCGGTCTCCTCTCACGCTTCTGTCATCTCTCACACGTGTGACTTTAATATTTCAGCAGCTGATCTCACTACTCACCCCACTCTTGCCAGAGAGATCCTTTTCACACTCAGGACAGACCTGTCACACTCCTCAGCTCTAGTGCTCCAGTTGCCTCCCCGAGTCAGAGCACAGCCACCGTCTGTCACGGCTGCAGTGCTCAGTGCCATCTGAACCTACACAGCATCCCTGCTCTCGCCTCCTTTCGCTGTCACCTGCAAACGCACTGACAGTGTTACTGTTTCCTAACAGACCAAGGACACTCCTGCCTCGGGGGCTTTGTACTGACCGATTCCTGTGTCTAAAACACTCTCCCCCCAGGTCTTCAAGGGCTCACTTCCTGTCCGAGGTAACAGCTAGCCAGAGCCTCGACTCATGGAAAGGGAGCCTTT